CGCCGACTGACTTTTCGATTTTTGTTTGTCGACTTGAGTAATTGACAAACGAAATAAGAAGCGGCGAGACTATTTAGTGTCGGAGGGATGACATCCAACGCCGTTATACTGGGTGGTTTACTACTCTAGACCAAGTGGCATGCTTGAAGGATCAGGAGATGGACTTTGCATTTGTGTTTCTAGTTGAAATCTGTTTTTAAATGGCCAAATTAAGGGCGTAGAAAATTGAAATATAAAACCATTAAGATTAAGATTCAAATTGGAATCGATAGGTATTTACTCTTTTCTATTGTTTGAGCTCGCAGCATACGAGTGAGTTATAAAAAAATAAAAGTACAACTAATTTCCTTTGGAAAAATAATAATTTCAGTTTTAGCAATACCTGAGGAATATAAAATTATGCTGTTACAATGTATGACTGCACTTGTAAAAAGTATTTCTCCCGATATATTTGATAAACTATATAAAAAAATATTCCGAAAATATCTCAAATAATATTGGTATGTGGAGACTTAGCAAAACAAGAAAAGTCAAAAGATATAAAGTAAAATATTGTATTATATGTATTTAGATGGTTGATATTTTTCTAAAGTGCATTTCTAGATATTTCGAAATTGTATGTTATGGCTCTAGGAAGAGTTAGTGATTCAGATGACTATAGTGATATTGTGTTGCGATGTAAAGTAGCAGAAGTTTTCATGTTCTCTTTGCCAAGTTATTGTAGACAGTATTAAAAGTGGTCATAAAGTATTAACGGTAATAAACTTGTAAAATTAAAGCCACCAACTTTATATTTTCAATTCCAGGTTGCCATTAAAAACTTTGGTCGCATTGTGTCCATTGTAGCTCAAAATTATGAACCCAGTGATACTGGTTATCGGCCTGACCTTATTATGTTAAAAGAAGCAAAAAGAAAAATCAAAGTAAAATGGCAAAATAAAGTGGAAATTGATGAACTTTGGAATGGTATAAAACCACAGATGAAAATTTACAAGCAAACATTACCAAGCTTATCAAAATCACAGAATCTGTAGCCATCGTTTTCTGCTATTCCCTTTAGAACTAGGTTAAGCCGGCCTTTGTTTTGCATATTGGCCTATCTCTCTAACATTTTTTCTATTCTTTCTTGATTTATACAACTTCCTCAAACTTTGGTTCATGAATATTCCGCAATTCTAGATTTTTGGGTTTCACCCGTCAATGTAATTTCCTATGTTCTTCTACGCTCTTTATTAGCACCCACGCTCTTTCTCTGGAGTAGATGTTTCTGACTTTGTTTCTGTAAGCACGCTTCTTAATGTCGACCTGGAACATTATAATGTTCTGGTATTAGATTAATTTTTCTAAAATTCCTTTCACTAATGGAATCGTCAAAAGAGAGGTATATAGCATCTGTATTTATGGAGTGATCGATTAATTTTTTTTTGAGTCGTTAGTAACTATCTGTCCCATGGTTCGCTTGGACAATTTTGGTGTTTACGCCTTTTTTCAAATCTTTAATGGCCGCTTGCTCCTCTTGGGTTATACTGTTTTTTACGAAAAATTTCTGACTTCTATCGTAGTTCACCTGCAAAGTTGAATCCTTTGCTCGATATTTGTTGTTCCATGTTCCTCATTATTGTTCGCTTTCTTGTCGTTGATATTTTTCAAATTTGAAGATCGTCTCTAATTGTGGTTAGTTGTTTGCCAATAGATGTTGTGCCTTGAATTGTTATCAATTCAAAACTAACTTGATCTTTATTTTGATGGATTGTATGGACTGTCAGTGTGGATCGCAATTGCGTTACAATACACAGTGTTGCACAGTGTTCTAACTTGCCGATTGACATAGATATTTTTATTTTGGTGCTGGAAGTGTTTGAGCTTTCTGTGTACTAGATTAAATCTGCCTCTATTGGTGGACCAATTTTCCAGTCTTCTCTGGTTGAGATTTCAGTCCTGTAATGATTAACAAGGCAATACTTGGGTATAGCATGCAGGTCCATCTGACAACCACCCATATGCTATCGTTGCTCTTATTAGTGCTGCAACCAAAGGTCGTTTTTTGGGTTCAAGGGCAAGTTTTGCTCCACACATTCTTTGGCACCTTCCGTGTACAATTATTGCCTTTAAATGTCCGAGTTTGTCAAATGTCAGCATTAAACACCTTGATTTCTTGGAAAATTGTGGACTTTCTTCATATACTACGGCGGTTTCATCTTCTACCACAAACTCATTGAGAATGAACATTATTTCAAGTATTATCAATAAATACTCTTTTATAGTCCCTTCTTTAAAATACTAAATAATACACCGATCTAGCATGCGGAAGGATCGTTTTACCACGTCGGTTTCGTTTCTTATGAATCCGAACCACTTCGGACATTTCCGCACAGCTTGAATTTTAACGTTTCTCAATTCTTACGGTCATGTCAGTCAATGTATTTGTGTTTTTTTTCAAAAATGTACCCAAAAACTAACTGTAAAAGTATAGTATGCAACACTTTTTAAGTTAGTTTATTAATCACTCGCTCCTGCCAAGTAAACTCGTGACTCAATACCTAATTATACACAGATCTAGCATGCGGAAAGTGTTATTTTGTTACGTCAGTTTCGTTTTCACGGATCCGAGCCAAGTATAGTATGCAACACGTTTGGCAAACACCGATCTAGCGTGCGGGAAGCGTCACTTTACCACTTCAGTTTCGTTTCCCACGGATCTGAGCCACTTCTGACATTTCCGGGATTTTACAGCAGGAGTTTGGGAGCAATCGGATGTGTTGTTTTGCGAAAATGTACCCAAAAATAAACGGTCCTAGAAAAATTATAGTATGCAACACGTTCGTTAAACTTTTTATGTCACTGGTTTATTAAACACTCGCTTCGCTGCGCTCCGCTAGTATCAAATAAACTCGTGAGTCAAATTCCGTTTACCGGACTTGTTGCACAATATACTATAAGTCTATTAATTAGCTCATGACTCGAATGCCGTTTACCAAACTTGTTGCATAATATGTTATAACAGGCGGTTAAAAGTTTCTTTATACGCTTTGAACCTCCTTATATTTCTCTCCAGTTACTATGTAAACTGCCCATAGTTTAACTTGAATGCTTGTATATCCTGTATTAGATAGTGGCAATCGTAGTAATAAAAAGATGAAGATCATGAGTAATTAAAATTAGCACCAGCGATGTTCAGCCTTTTACAAATTATTTATTAACGAATTAACCCCATCATGTTTAGGCCAAAATTAACCAAAACTAACCAAAATTGCTTTCGATTTAACGATCAATTTCATATTTCTAAAGAACCATAAATTAGTGGCAGACCCACCGAGTACACTACCTGCACAAATTTTCATGGATAACTTAGAAAATAATGGAAATTGTCTGACTAAAAGATTTCTTTGGTGATACAGATTTGGATGATATTTTTACATGTTTCACTGACACTTAAAGACACCTACAGGCTCTTTGAATCATACCAACTCCAGCACAGAAAGGGCTATCGTAATCAATTATTTCTTAATTCGCATGAATTACATAGCAAAATAACGGAAACATACCAAATTTACTGACAAATAAATATTCGGACGCGAATGTTTAATGACCAAGAAATCAATGCTACCCATGCATTGATGGTAAAATGTAGTGTGCTTAGATAAATGAGATGTCAGTTCGGGTTGTATCTTTCAAGTTTGTATAATAGTTGATAAGAAAATGACCCGTGGTGTTGCAACAAACAAAAAAGTGCGAGAAATTATCATATCTCAGTACTGCAGAGGTAAATCAATGCAAAAAATTTCAAACGACTTGAGTATTGCAAAATCAACAGTCGCGGATATTATAAAAAAGTATGGAGAGACAGCTAGTGTTAGCGTTCGTGGTAAAAGTTCAGGCCGACCCCATAAAATCACTGAAAGAGATCGTCGTATTCTAGTCAAGATTTGTAAAACTAGGAGACGAAGAGTCTTACGACAAATTCAAGCCCAATGGAATCACGAGGCAAACTTAAATGTCTCCAGGGAATGTTGTAGACAATGGATGCATAAGTCTGGTTTCAGTTTTTATAAGGTAAGTTTACAATTTTTCCTGTTTCAATATAAAAATTATTAATATTCTATGATCTACTTTTGTTAAAAATAAAGGAAAAACCATTATTAAGGTCTATTCAGAAGAAAAAACGTTTGGATTGGGCAAAATCTAAAATATCCTGGACAATGGAAATGTAGAGTAACGTTAACTTCAGCGACGAATCAAAATTTGATGGGTGTGTATGCGATTTTCGAAAAAGGGTGATTCGTACAAAATTAGAAGCCTTTCACACAGATTGTCTAAAGCGCACGGTAAAATTTCCCAAGGGTGATATGATATGGCGGTGTATGAGTGGTAAAGGGGTTGGCAACTACGAGTTCATTGATGGTACTGTAAATGCAGAAAAATACCAACAAATTTTATCAAGAAGTGTGTTTCCATCAATAGAACGAACTTTTGAAAATGAAAATTGTATATTTCAACAAGACGGTGCGTCCTGCCATACTGCGAAAACAACAAAAAGTGGGTTGGGGACCATAATATGAAAGTTTTATCGTGGCCATCAAGTAGCCCCGACTTGAATATTATTGAAACTTTATGGCATCGGACGAAAAAGACTTTGCGTAACAATCGTCAGCGTACAGTTCCAGCATTAAAGGCAAAAATCACCGAAATTTGGAACACTTTCACCCCCGAATATTGCAAGACTTTGGTAGATTCCATGGCAAAACGCATAAAAGCTGTTATTGCCGCGAAAGGTGATGTTACTTCTTGTTAATGTTCGATATAAAGTAAAAGATTTAAATGCGTCCGAATATTTATTTGCCAGCAAATTCGGTATGTTTTTGATATTTTGTTATGTAATTTATGTGAAATAAAAAAATAATTTATTACGATTGCACTTCTTGGTATAAAAATAAGGGCGTGATTTCATTTTTCAATCGATGACCCTGTTTGTTCTAAACTCTCATAAAAAAAATACTCACCCGCGAATGGTTGCCGTCGACGAAAAATTCCGCTTCAGTTCTTCCTACACCCGTAGTGATCGGGGGAGCATTGAATTCGTCATAGATGCCGCCTTCCCCTTGGCTTTGGTTGTCCAACAGGTCGCTCCTTCCTGTCTCCGCGAACTCTTTCACTCCGGCAACCGATTTTTTACCGAGACGAAACAGGACGTAAGATCTGTCATGGCTTCGGCCTGAAACGAAACGAATTGTCTTGAAAGTGCACCTTTATGTACGAAGATCGATTGTCATTATTGAAATTACAAGGATGCACTATTTTTTGGAGACCGGAAATACCTATATAGATTTTGAGCTCCCTTAATATAGAAGATATTTTGATTTTGTGAATACTTTTTCATTGCACATTTTAACGGCAGCTAAATGACGCATTTAAAATTTGAAAGTCAGTCATTACAATTTATATCGCATTAGATGCTTCCTGTGACGTTTCAACTCGAATATCATTCGTGCGATGTTTTTAATCCTAGAAACGTTTATTAGATTCTTGGTACTACGGCTGTGTTATATTTTTATTATTTTATGTTTATTGATACCTTTATAATAAAATTATTATTTTAGATAATTAAATTTAGGTAATAATTACATAAGAAAAGTTATAAAAGGGCCATAGTGCCAAAAAGCTAAAATGACATATACAAAGAACGGAAAAAGTGCAAGCGCAGTTAAATGCATAACATTTTCAGAATATATGCAACTAAATGAACAAAAGACGTAAATCTTATAATTTTTTATTTGACTAAATATACATGAAACAAAAAACTTGCAATTGCACAACAAAATCTAAAATATAAAAATCTTACAGTGACGACATATTATTTGTGATTAGAAAAAAAAAATAAAACAATTATTAATTTAACAATAGCAACTTCACAACATACAATTCGTAAATTACCAAACTCCTTTTTGAAGTTATAAAAAAAATTGATACCCAAAAGTTTTTCAAAAGTTCCCAAAAGAAAATTGTGTTTTTTTTATATGGAAAAACTTCTCTTAACATCTCCAGAAGTTATCGGACAGTATTTTAGTTTCAGAGTTAAGCATGTTTCTAATTTATACAAATCTAGTTCTCTTGCCAAATTATTGAAACTGCCTATAAAACCTTCTGAACTTTTTTTGGATTTTGAAGGCGGTGTTAATTTTAATAACTGACATAAATATTTTTTAGCGCCCAACCGTACTTGAAATTTTTTTGCAATCCATCACTGAAACTGTCTAAGAAACAGAGGTAACCTCCAATTTTGTGAGTGCTATAGGTACAAAAAAATAATTTGTCTTTATAAATATAAATGAAACAAAAAAAAAAGCAATTGCACACCATAAAAATCTAAAACATAAAAATCTTACAGTGACAACACATTATTTGCGATTATAATATATATATATATATATATATATATATATATATATATATATATATATATATATATATATATATATATATATATATATATATATATATATATATATATATGCAGTTAATAATTCAACAATAGTAACTTCCACAACATACAATTCGTAAATTAACAAACTCTTTTTTGCAGTTCTAAAAACAAATAATAACTAATAATGTTTTTCAAAAGTTCCCAAAAGAAAATTGTTTTTTGTCTGTAAACGTATGTTAAGAAATGGAAAACGTCTCTCAACATCTACAGAAAATATCGAACAGTATTTTAGTTTCAGAATTATGTGTGTTTCTAATTTATAAACATCCAGTTCTCATTCGAAATTAGTGAAATTGCCTATAAAAACTTCTGATTTTTTTTTTAGGATTTTGAAGCCTCTGCTATTTTTAATCAATAACATAAATGTTTGTATTACCCCCAACAGTACCGGAAACTTTTTTGCAATTTACCTCAAATGAATTAATTAAAGTCATTGAATATGCCAAATAAACAGAGGTAACCTTTAAATTCGTGAAGTATTGGCTCCGTGTTTGAGGCCCAGTAGCGCCGCCCACGGAAAAGAAGGAACTACAGCACTCAAATTTTATCATTGTCTTTACGTTTTAATTTATAAATAAAATAATTAACAATAAATTTTGAGATGGATAGGTAGTATAAAGTGATTTAAACGAAAGGTACGTGAAAATTATATATTAACAAAACTTTTTTTCTGTAATTAAAACGTGTAACAAACAAATAATAATAGTTTTTTATTGACAGCATAACCTGAAAATATGGCATCGGTAATATTGCAGACCGGGTTTGAAAATATCTCCCATTCAATAATTTTCACTGTAGGTACACTATAAAAAGGAAAAAAAGTGGCTTTTTGTCATATTAAACACATTGAAGGATACGTTGGTGGCAATATTAACAATAAGTTAATTGCTAAATGCATTCGGCAAACGTCCGTCACTGAAACACTATATAATTTACAGATTGAAGTAAGCATACACACCTTTAAAAAAAATTGTCAAACTTTAAAAGTGGCTTTTTTACTGATTCTTTAAATTTTTTAGCTGAATAGTAAAAGGGAGGTGGTACACGCTCAATGTACTTGCATTGCCAAAGAAACTGGCGAATGCAAACATATTGCGGCATTTGTCCGCCGAATAAACAATGACCGGAGTGTGTTTAAAACGAGTGTTCAGCAAGAGTAGGGATTTCCATCAATTAATCATTTAGCAAAAGAAAAATATTCTCGAGGAGCTACGGTAAATGATCTTTTTCCTCAAAAAGTGCTTAAAAATCCTGATCACCACTGCACTTGACTTTGGAAGACTTTGACGATATCGAATGCCCAATTAAAAAAAGGTTAAAAGTCGATCATATTAGTGAGGAAGAACAAGTCTGTACGGTGGTCATGAATATATGTCTCGAAGAACGACAGGTAGAACTAATATCAGAGTGTACGAAAAAGGTGATTGCTTGTCTTTTAAAGAGTGCTGGTCAGTGTATCACCATAGGAAAAGACAAGTTGGCTCTGTCATCTGAGATAGCACAGTTTTACCAAGACCGGATACTGTTAGACAGTGAAGAAGTTTTCACATTTTGTTTACAAACCACACAACAAAGCGAGACGGTAAAATGGTTTGAAGCAAGACGTGTACGCATAACGGCCAGCGCAAAAGCTCATAACATAAAAACAATGACCCGCACTTCAGCTGAATCTTTACCACAGGATTTTCTGCATCCGAAAACTTTACATGCAGAAAGTTTAAATTATGGAATTCAAAATGAGGCAAAAGCTCGCGAAAATTACAAATTACTGCATGATGTTCACGTATTTCAAATTGGATTATTTGTGTCTCCCAAACAGGCCTGGTTAGGAGTCTCAGTAGATGGATTAGTAGTCAGTGACGGCATGGTAACTAAAATAGTCGAAATAAAATGTCCAATATCATGCAAATCGAAACCAATATGGGATAAAGAAACGAAAAAAATTAATGTCGGCTATATTGAAACTGTAGCTACGGGAAAAGTCCAATTAAAAAAGAACCATATTTATTACACGCAGTGTCAATTGCAGATGTATGTGACAAATGTATTAGTATGTGATATTTTCGTATGGTCACCACGAGAATCGTTTACTGTTAAAGTCCACGTTGATTACGAGTTTTTAGTGAAATTAATTTCAAAGTTAGAAAATTTTTATTTTCGTTATTATTTACCTGCTTTGTGCAATGAATCGAAAGAAAATGAAACGAATCCAAATGTTACATTAGCAAATTCGTAGCTTTATCATACAATTAATTATTCTTGGGTTCAGCAAAGCGTAAGCTTGTTTATATGTATAGAATAAGTGCAAGTTGTTTAGTTTAATTATTTATTTTTATACACAAAGAAAATATAACGTTGTTCATTCATATAAATTATAACTAATTTATTAAAATTACATTGCTTAAGAGGTAAATTATTACAGATAATTAAAATAATATTAACGTTTTATAAAAAGTTTGCAAAATTTATATTTACAACTTTATTACATCGTTCCAACACTGTTACTGCATCTTATTATTGGCGGTTGGAGGTTTGCCAACACACAAGCCATGAAAATAATATTATCCAAATGCTCAAATTTGGATGCTGGGATATTTTTTGTAATTTTATAAGTTTTAATTCTTTGCATTATTCTCTCGTTGTGTATTCGATGACTGGCAACTTTTTGCGTCTCGCGAACTTCATCAGCTGTGAAAGTGTCATTTTTCAGAAACGGTGGCATGACAACCACAACTTTTTTCCCCGCAGCATCTAATTCTGATTTTATTTCGGGAAATCCCTTGTCTGCCATTATCAAATCTCCGTGTTCAACACGATTTAAAAACCCACTTTGATTTGTAATTTGTGCATCAGTCGTGCGGCCACCAAAGCACTTTGATACAAAAATAATTTCTCCGCCTGGAGAACACGCAACAAGAACTTTGACGATATACGCATGTTTATAATGAGAGTAAAAAAAAACACGCTGAGACACTTCTGGAGGTTCTTCGACTTTGAATTCTGAGCAATCTATTATTGCGCGGCAATCGGGATATTCTTTTCGAAAGCAGTCAGGCATGGTTTGCTCATTGGCGAACTTAGAAGGCCATTGAACAAAATTTTTACAAGAATTTGTGAGATACATTAAATATGTGTGAAATATCCATGATACGGTAGTTCTATGAACGCCGAATAAAACTCCAATAGATGAATAAGTTAATCCTAATTTCATTTTTATCAAGAATATAAGTAGGTTATTTTCTTTTGATAATGACCCATTGTAACAATTTCCAGCTGCTTTTAATAATAATTGAAAACGACTGAATGATACTCCTGCAACATCAATCAAGTCTTGTTCTTTTTTTATCGATGAATATCCGTGAAATCCTTGTCGATACACAAACGAATCGCTTTCGTCTAGTGGGTTCGGTCCAACTTTTTTATCTGCATATTGTATGGTAGGTCCACACCTAATTTCAGCAGTACCCTTCGAAAAAACATTTTTTTTAGATGTTTTCAATGGAATATTTGCTTGAGTCCCAGATTCACAAGTTACTCCGTTGTCACGTGTTGTTGAAAACATATTTACGAAGGTTGAATTCATTTCTTCATGAAAATCAATCTGTACAGTAATATCTTTAAATCGCGGTTGCAGTGAGTCAATAATAACATCACTACATTTCTGTATATCCATATGATCATTCAGGTTATCGGTATCTTTATTGTCGTTGAGGTCATCGTTACGTGTGCTT